ATCATTCCAATTGCTGCTCCCACGTTAATTCTACATTAAAAAAATATGTGAATATTTAATCAATTGTTAAATCAATGGGTAATTGATTTCCCTAGCAGCTACATAAGCGACTCGATAAATTCTTGATGCAAGTCAACTGGACCACTCTACCTTTTTTTTTCACATTACAAATGAATTCTACTTGAAGATTTCAGGACTAAATAAATTCTTTAAACATCATTCAATTATAGAGTTATAAAAAAATATGCACTTGAAGCTATTAAATTATTATTGTGAATTTAATCATTTAATTTTATAATAAACATTGAGAAAGAGATGAATAAATAGATGAGTTGATGAATTAAATCAAAGGCGTTAGGTGTCGATTAAGATGAAATCCATTTTTACGTAAGTCTAATAATTCTCCGATATGAAAATGTTTTCTATTTTGTACTATTTAAATTGGTAACGAGGCTAGTTAACACGTAGATAATTCTACATAATGCGTCAATTGAACACAGACAAATTAACACATTGTTAATTCAATTGAACGAGTACTCCACTCCTACACATTGAGTACTGATGTAAATGTCCTACCGATTCTTTACATTTTTTTAATCACAGACGTACGTAAACATTCGATTTTTTTCTGCACTGGACACTAAAAAAATTGAAAATAAAGGTTGCAGGTCAATACATCGAATACTTTTCCGCACAAGTAGAAAAACTATCTGAATTTGTGTCGAAAACAACATGGAGTATATTATACTCACGTTGATTCTACGAATTTTATTATATTTTAATCAGTCATGAATCGATAGAGTTCAAAAAGCCGATTAAAAAAATAGAGATTGCTTTCATTTTAACTTTTGAATGACAGTGATGAGAATGCCACGGTAACCGAAAGAAAAACCTGTAAAAACAAACCCAGAAATATGTGGTCCTTCCAAATACGTACTCCCTGAAACTAGTCGAGCATTGTACACAAACAGTACTATTTTATTTCAATGAAAAACAGTAGAGCTCAAAATGAAAAACCCTGAGGCTGATGAATTGTTGGCGTGCGCATACGCTCTCCTCTTCGTTACCTATAAAGTACCATAAACCATTCTATGTGTAGACCCTCTGTAATTACGTTTCATTGAACCGAAGGCAAGTGGCCGTGCAGGCGATGAGCTACTCGCGTGCCAGAGGATGATATGTTTTTAGAGAGATATACGATTTTGTGTTACCACTAATTTTCTTATCTTACGTTATATGCAAGATTTTCCTCGATTGATGTCAGCTTGAACAAATATGGGGAAATGACATTGATGTGGTATGTTTCATTCGTGACAAAATTTTCTGTCGAAATCGAGAAATTTTCGGAAGAATTCCGGATAAGAATAGACAATCAATTATTTTCTGTATGGACTCATCATTCATACGTTTCGACGGCTGTCATACTAATCAGTAATTGCCGCCATTTTTACTTTGTCAATAAGTACTCTGTCAATCCGTTTGACAGGTGACACGGACTACAATGAAAATATCGCTTGGTTCCGGACTTATTTTTAGGAAGTGAAATAAACATTCCAATATTCATGATGAAAATTTTCCTCATTTTTAGAGGGGATGGTTCAGTATTGAAAGATAAAAAGACATGAATTCACGGTTTATTTAATATCATCATCATCATTCATCTTAATGAAAAGATAAATAATAAAATAAC